AGTTGGAAAGTAAGTAAGAGAAAGCACAAGTAATAGCAAATTATGAATTGTGATGATTAATCTTCTGTTAACATACATAACTGCTTCTCATTCAGTCTACAGCTGAGTTTAGTATAGAAGGCAACACACTATTGCAAATATAGTGTGTGATTACACAACAAATTCTGGGGGAGAAACTCTGGACCCCGTGTCAATGGGTGTAGACTCAGGTCGTAGTGAATGTCCCCACCAAGATTGGAACCAAACCTACACCATTGTCTGCTTGTGTACAAGTCTCACCATGGCCTCGCACCAAAATATATTAGTGACATGTTAGTACCATACGAACCAGCCCGGACTCTGAGGAGCACAGGGACGGGACTCCTGCTGGGACTCTGAGGAGCACAGGGACTGGACTCCTGTTAGTGCCCAGAGTCAGAACTAAACATGGGGAGGCTGCTTTTCAGATTCATGCTGCTAAAATCTGGAACAGTCTTCCTGAAGATGTGAGACAGGCCTCCTCTCTGACAATGTTTAAAACCAGGTTAAAGACAGTTCTGTTTAGCTGTGCTACAACTGAGGGATTTTATATTTTTATCTTTCTTTTTAATGTTCTGTGATTATTTATGATTTTAATGCTTTCTTATTTTGTTCAGCACTTTGAATTGCCTTGTGTATGAATTGTGCTATATAAATAAACTTGCCTTGCCTTGCCTTGCCTTGCCTTGCCTTTAGGACCAAGAACCACTTTCGGACCAAGAACCACTTTAGGACCAAGAACCACGTTCGGACCAAGAACCACTTTTGGACCAAGAACCATTATTGGACCAAGAACCACTTTTGGACCAAGAACCACTTTTGGACCAAGAACCACTTTTGGACCAAGAACCACTTTAGGACCAAGAACCACTTTTAGACCAAGAACCACTTTTGGACCAAGAGCCACTTTTGGACCTTGAACCACTTTTCGACCAAGAGCCACTTTTGGACCAAGAATCACTTTAGGACCAAGAACCACTTTTGGACCAAGAGCCACTTTTGGACCAAGAACCACTTTTGGACCAAGAGCCACTTTTGGACCAAGAACCACTTTTGGACCAAGAACCACCTTTGGACCTTGAACCACTTTTGGACCAAGAGCCACTTTTGGACCAAGAACCACTTTTGGACCAAGAACCACCTTTGGACCTTGAACCACTTTTGGACCAAGAGCCACTTTTGGACCAAGAACCACTTTTGGACCAAGAACCACCTTTGGACCTTGAACCACTTTTGGACCAAGAGCCACTTTTGGACCAAGAACCACTTTTGGACCAAGAACCACTTTTGGACCAAGAACCACTTTTGGACCATCCTGTAAAGCTGCTTTCTTTCGAGAAGTCAGAAGATGCTATTCATTAGCTTTGAATAATTCTTATTCCGGGTCCACCCCTACTGGCCAGGAGTGGTACTGCAGCACGTCAGCGCACGTCATTTTGGACATTTTTGAGCCGGGACCCACACGGGTTTGAACTGTTTGATTCTGTGGTTTTGTAAAGTCCTCTGCGCTACATTCACTACAGTTGTGATTTAGGGCGACATAAGTATAAATGAAATGGAATTGAATGGAAAACAGAGCTGCGGATGACTCTATAATGCAGACAGAGTGAGTTTGACACAACGTTCAGACGCACTGCCTTAAAGAAAATGTCTGAGTGTAAATGTTAGTAAAGATAAAGGTTGTGGATGTTGTGCTTCTCTCTCTGCTCTTGTTCAAACACTGCACTTAGACGCCACAGAACGGCTCTGCTTTCAAGGGGAAAGGAGTGCTTAGGCTGATGAATGGAGCGGCCTGTCAGCGCTGCTCCGGCCTCTCTTTGAACAGATAAATCAAACGCACCCTTCGCTCAGATGTGCAGCTGAGCCGGGGGCAGCTCAGGGCTCCACCCGCACATAAAAGCCACTCGGAAAAAACAATTGCAATAAAAAGAGAGATAAATCATCTGGAAGTGTTCGGAGAGGCAGACGTCTTCAGCGACAAAGAGAGGTAGAGGGGGTCTGGGGGAGGTGGCTCAGAAGAGGGGGGGGGTTCAGGTGAAGTGGGGGAGGGGTCAGGAGAGGGGGGGTTCAGGTGAAGTGGGGGAGGGGTCAGGAGAGGGGGGGTTCAGGTGAGGGAGAGGGGGGCTTGGTCTTGCTGATAACGCACACTAATACACTAAGAGCTGTTATTTTATGGACAATATGCATCACAGCAAAGAAGCTAGCGCACAGATGTTAGCTCGTCCAAACATCAGAGTCAGATTATTCTACATCACTAATTTATTCTGTCTTGCATTTGTCCCATGTCCATTTGGTGCAGGCTTACACAATATTACAAACCAGATTCCTATATTCCCATTTGAACTGTTGATATTCCTGATCTTCCCGCTCCTCCGGTGGGGGAGGGGGCTCTGATGCTAATATGCTAAAAGCCACGCGCCTCATGTGTGATGGATGGAGGTCGGTAAATTAGCCACGAAACAGCGGCACGGTGAAAAACGACTGACGGCTCAATATGGAAGGACCTGGAGCTCAGATAGGTGCACACAGGTACACATAGTAACACACAGTAACACACAGGTGCACACAGGTACACACAGTAACATACAGTAACACACAGTAATACAATTGCACACAGGTACACAGAGTAAAATTCAGGCACACACAGGTACACACAGGCATGCACGGGTACACACAGATACAGATATGTACACACCGGTACACACTGATACATACAGGTACACACAGATACACACAAATCAGACAGGTACACACAGATACACACAGGTACAGAATGGGTGACGAATTTGACATTATTAAATTATCTTGTTGTGACAAACTTTTGGGAAATACTTTCTACTTCCACAAACATCTAACTTTTGTATCAAACTGAATTTGTCCATAAATGAAACTGAATCAAAATAATGAAATTCTCTGAAAGATTTGTGAATAAAAAGTACATCCTGCTCTTGTTCCAGCGCTGGGTTTATGTTTCACTGTGTGCTTGAAAACTAAACAAGACCCTAACCCTGTAGGGGCCTGCACACACAAACACACACACACAAACACTCACGGACACACACGGACACACACGGACACGCACAAACACACACAAACACTCACGGATACACACGGACACACATGGACACACACAAACACACACGAACACACACGAACACACACGAACACACACGGACACACATGGACACACACAAACACACACGAACACACACAAACACACACGAACACACACTAATCTAATAGAATAGTCCATGTCCCTGTGTCCCGGGCCCTTGACCCTGTGTCCCCTGAGTACTGCTCCAGCCCACATGACTGACGGCCAATCAATGCTCTTCTGGCACCGGCCCCGACTCAGATTCTTTGTTGAACTTGAGCCGGACAAACACCCATGGTACGAATACGTATAAACCAGGAAACACTGGATCCAGTGAAACCATGTCTTAAATGGACCTGGACTCGTTTAAATAAATTAATTGTTCTATAATCATAAATGAGACCCTAAAAGGTTAAAGACGTGAAGAAAACTAACCGAGAACCACTGATTGAATTGAAACCGTGCCCTGGAGTAGAGTAGAGTAGAGTAGAGTAGAGTAGAGTAGGAGGAGGGTGGGGTAGGGTAGGGTAGGGTAGAGTAGAGTAGAGTAGAGTAGGAGGAGGGTGGGGTAGGGTAGGGTAGGGTAGAGTAGAGTAGAGTAGAGTAGGAGTAAGAATAGTAACAGGGTGGGGTAGGGTAGGGTAGAGTAGGGTAGGGTAGGGTAGGGTAGGGTAGAGTAGGGTAGAGTAGAGTAGAGTAGAGTAGGGTAGGGTAGGGTAGGGTAGAGTAGAGTAGAGTAGAGTAGGGTAGGGTAGGGTAGGGTAGGGTAGCGTAGAGTAGAGTAGAGTAGAGTAGGGTAGGGTAGGGTAGGGTAGAGTAGAGTAGTGTAGGGTAGGGTAGGGTAGAGTAGAGTAGAGTAGGGTAGGGTAGGGTAGGGTAGGGTAGGGTAGGGTAGGGTAGAGTAGAGTAGAGTAGAGTCGGGTAGAGTAGGGTAGGGTAGGGTAGGGTAGAGTAGAGTAGTGTAGGGTAGGGTAGGGTAGAGTAGGGTAGGGTAGAGTAGAGTAGAGTAGGGTAGGGTAGGGTAGGGTATTGTAGAGTAGAGTAGAGTAGGGTGGGGTAGGGTAGGGTAGGGTAGGGTACGGTAGGGGAGGGTAGAGTAGAGTAGGGTGGGGTATGGTAGGGTAGAGTAGAGTAGAGTAGAGTAGAGTAGAGTAGGGCAGGGTAAGGTAGGGTAGGGTAGGGTAGGGGAGGGGGAGGGTAGGGTAGGGTAGGGTAGAGTAGAGTAGGAGTAAGAATAGTAAGAGGGTGGGGTAGGGTAGAGTAGCGTAGGGTAGGGTAAGGTAGGGTAGGGTAGGGTAGGGTAAGGTAGGGTAGGGTAGGGTAAGGTAGGGTAGGGTAGGGTAGGGTAGGGTAGAGTAGAGTAATTTACATTTCTGATCATCTCACTCCGTATGAACCAATGGCTCCTATCTGTTTGTTATTATGTATAATTCCTATGTTTGAATTGTTTTGTTTTATTTCTTACCTCAGATTTACAAAAATATAATTCACAGGAAAAATAAATATGATGAGCGTAAACAAAAAGACCATGGTTTGAAAAGAGACTGGTCAAAGCAAAATCTCTGATCTGTGTTGGAAAATCCAAAACTTTGTAAAGTCCTCTGAGACGACTGCTGTTGTCATTTGGGCGATACACAAATACAATAATTACAAAAACCCAGAACAGTAGACCAGGGCCAACCAGGCCAACCAGGGCCAACCAGGACCAACCAGGACCAAGCAGGGCCAACCAGGACCAACCAGGACCAAGCAGGGCCGAGCAGGGCTGAAGGGACAGGGCTTCAGAGGCACTGGGGCCGCTCCCTTGATAAGTATTGGTTGTTTGCTGTCAGGGGCTTTGTGTGTTCTTTGTCAGGACAGAAGTGATGTGTCAGCCCTGTCACCCCCCTCACCCCCCACCCCCCTCACCCCCCCCACCCCCCTCACCCCCCTCACCCCCCACCTCCCTCATCCTCACCCCCAGCGCTGGGTCAGCTCCCACGCTATCGACCCCAGAGCCTGCTCCTGTGGGGAATTCTCTGCCCTGATCCTCCACCGTCGCTGCTAAATTGAATAAAGAGACGTCACATGTTTAAATAAGTGTTGCAGGTCACCTTGGCATAAACCTGTCGCCGCTCTCGACCAATCACAGCGGCCCTCACAGCCTGACGCCGCTCTCGACCAATCACAGCGGCCCTCACAGCCTGACGCCGCTCTCGACCAATCACAGCGGCCCTCACAGCCTGACGCCGCTCTCGACCAATCACAGCGGCCCTCACAGCCTGACGCCGCTCTCGACCAATCACAGCGGCCCTCACAGCCTGACGCCGCTCTCGACCAATCACAGCGGCCCTCACAGCCTAAGCGGAGATACTAGATTATGTTTCTTACACTTTAGAAATAAGTGGATCAATGTCTGCAGCAGGTGTTGATCAGGACGAGGCGCTCTGGGGGAGGATGTCTGGGATACTTGGATACTCGGATACTTGGATACTCGGATACAAACGGAGGAGCTCCACAGGGCTGTGTTCTTTCCCTTGTTCTTTCATTTTTAAATCATTCTCAACATAAAAACATAAAAACAACAAAGACTTATTGTGTTCCCATTTAAATTCCACTGACACAGTCCCCTTGACACGACCCGGGGTCTGCTGAAGCAATCAGAGCTGCCCCCGGTCTGACACACACACACACACACACACACACAGACACACATGCACACGCAAACACACACACACGCACGCACACACACGCACACACATATACTCATACACACAGGGCACACATAGAGACAAACACACACAGACGCAAGGGCACTCACAGGGCAGGCATACATTCACACAAACACACACACACACACAGGGCACGCACACACACACAGGGATAGCATACAGACACACACACACAAACACAGGGCACACACACACACACACACACACACACACACACACACACACACACACACACACACACACACACACTTCTTTTCTTTTTTTAACCAGATCCACAGTTTGACTCCCAGCAGTGTTAAAGATACATTTCATGTCAGAGTGTGAAAACATAAAGTCAAACAGCCTTTTCTGCATCAAAGACACACAAAAGACACACAAATGTGAGGACGGTGATGAACGCAGTGACAGATGCTTTTCATTTGTTGAATCTCTGTGGACACATGCACCTCTAGTTTCCGTGTTTTACTGCTTCCTCCGGGACCACAACTCTCCCACTGTCGCTGAGAAAATATAAACAACAGCAAACCACCTCCGGTACGTTCATGTAGCTTTAAACATCCGTCTGGAGCTGTCAGCGCTCTCTCAACTCTGTCAGATTGGGATATTTGGAATTCTGGCCCCTTCCTCCCATCTGAAGCTCGTATCATTTCAAAACCAGAATACACATGTACATTTTAGACACCTCTTTGTCGCTGATGTGACAGATAGAAAATGATCCAGTCGGAGATATGTGTGTGTGTGTGTGTGTAGGTGTGCTGGGTGTGTGCTGGGTGTGTGATGTGTGTGCGTGTGTGTGTGTGTGTGTGCGTGTGTGCGTGTGTGTGTTAAAATGGAAGTGGAACTATTTTATTATATACAATCTCCAGTGTCAGTTTGATGACAGCTTTGTGTCATTGTTTTGAAATAGAAACAGATCTGTATATGTGTATGTGTATGTAAACATGTATGTATATCTATATGTGTGTGTTTGTGTGTGTGTTTGTGTGCACTGCATGTATGTGTGTGTGTGATTGAATATTTCTAATTCAATTTGAAAAACCCATAAATATACACTTCTCCATAGACTTCACAGGAACGACAGAGCTGCCTCCGTGTGTGCTCTCCCTCTGTGTGCTCTCCCTCTGTGTGCTTTCTCTGTGTCCTCTCCCTCTGTGTGCTTTCTCTGTGTCCTCTCCCTCTGTGTGCTTTCTCTGTGTGCTCTCCCTCTGTGTGCTCTCTCTCTGTGTCCTCTCCCTCTGTGTCCTCTAGCTCTGTGTGCTCTCTCTCTGTGTGCTCTCCCTCTGTGTGCTCTCCCTCTGTGTGCTCTCCCTCTGTGTGCTCTCTCTCTGTGTGCTCTCCCTCTGTGTGCTTTCTCTGTGTTTTCCCCCCCACTGTGTGCTCTCCCTCTGTGTCCTCTAGCTCTGTGTGCTCTCCCTCTGTGTGCTCTCTCTCTGTGTCCTCTCCCTCTGTGTCCTCTAGCTCTGTGTGCTCTCTCTCTGTGTGCTCTCCCTCTGTGTGCTCTCCCTCTGTGTGCTCTCCCTCTGTGTGCTCTCTCTCTGTGTCCTCTCCCTCTGTGTGCTTTCTCTGTGTCCTCTCCCTCTGTGTGCTTTCTCTGTGTGCTCTCCCTCTGTGTGCTCTCTCTCTGTGTCCTCTCCCTCTGTGTCCTCTAGCTCTGTGTGCTCTCCCTCTGTGTGCTCTCCCTCTGTGTGCTCTCTCTCTGTGTGCTCTCCCTCTGTGTGCTTTCTCTGTGTTTTCCCCCCCACTGTGTGCTCTCCCTCTGTGTGCTCTCTCTCTGTGTGCTCTCCCTCTGTGTGCTTTCTCTGTGTGCTCTTCCTCTGTGTGCTCTCTCTCTCTGTGCTCTCCCTCTCTGTGCTCTCCCTCTCTGTGCTCTCCCTCTGTGTGCTTTCTCTGTGTCCTCTCCCTCTGTGTGCTCTCCCTCTGTGTGCTCTCTCTCCGTGTGCTCTCTCCTTGTGTCCTCTCCCTCTGTGTGCTCTCTCTCCGTGTGCTCTCTCTCTGTGTGCTCTCTCTCTCTGTGCTCTCCCATGTGACGCCATGTTGCGAAAAGCTCAGATCGATCCGACGTGATCAGACCTGTCACTTTAACCTGTTGCGTTTTAGCTCAATATTGATGTATTGAATTATCATGGACCACAGGTGTCAGATGTCGTGGCTTGTATTGATAAGGAATGCTAATGTTATGCTAATGTTATGCTAATATGCTCAACGCTTTTTGTTTTATCCAGAATGAAAATCAGATTGAAGTTTTACATTACAACTCATTTCTTGCTAGTTTATGGTCATTCATCTTGAAGGTTGGGTCAAAATGAGTCGATTCTTCCCTATTCTGTGTTGTACCGCTGACAGACCCAGATCTAATGAATTAAAAGCCAATTGTTACTCTTATTGGAGCCATTTTTGAGTTTGCTTGTTATCCCTGTGTCTGCGTAGGTTTCCTCTACCACTAAACACATGTACAACAGGTAACGCTCTGGTCCTGACCAAGCTGAGCATTAACATCTGGAGATTGGCTCATGTTACCACGGCAACCACTGCTCCTGACATAGGCCCCCAAAGACACATTTACACACAGGGAAAATAAGGTGTAACCTGTCTCATAACAGCTTAGAATGAGTTGAAAAGAAACACTGAACATTGAACAGGAGCGGCCCAAGGATAGAGCCCTGGGGTACTCCACGTCTGAGCTGCAATCAGACACATCCACCAATCTCTACAGAATAGGACAAGTTCAAGTTAAAGCTTCTGTCTCTTCTCAAGGATCCGGTGTCAGGGATGATGTTCTCTAGTATCTTGTGACTGTAATTATCGGAAATGCTTAAAGAAAAGATCCGTATGAGTGAAACCCCCTCTGCTGATACAGTAAATCGATTCTACCGATTCTGATAAATCCAACTTTGATCTTTTAACTGGAGGATTCCCAAAAAGACGTCCAGTTAAAGTACTGACTGGTAAAGTGTATATGACGTTAAGGTTAAAGATTACTCACTGAATTGAACTAATAAACGATTCTCTTGTCGACGCAGACCTGTTCGAGTTTGTGCCTGGTGCACTTTCTCCGAACATCCTCTGTGATGGATGTTCCTTTAATCCTCGTTATCGATTCCTGTTGGATTGTGAAAAGTCAAACGTGCAGAGCGGCTACATCCGTCCGGTTCAGAGATGAGGAAATGGAATGTAAGTTTTGGTCATAAATCACATCGGGACAGGCGCATTCCCCCCATAATCTTTTCACTTATTTACAGATCGCCAGAATCAGAAGCGGCAACGGGCCCTCGCCGAGCCGCCTGCTGCTCTGTGTATCTACGGTTTGTATCTGCTCTGTGTTTATCTGCTCTGTGTTTATCTGTTGCCCTGTGTGGAAATGCTGTATTCAATATTAAACGTAATGTGTTCTGATGTTTCTGTTTTCAGTGCTCTGTTGTTTGGAACTACTTCATGTGTGTGTGCGTTTACAGCAGGGTGTTTTAAAATGACGGACTGGAGAGAGGCCGAAGCCGTAGTCTCATCTCCAGTCATTAAAGCTGGTGTGTAGCAGTGCATCATGGATCTGGTCTCCGCGGTGGACTTCCGAGTCTCTGACCATAAGACTCGGTATGGTCAGAGACTGGGAACACTGAAAACAACACAGTTCAACTGTGTTGTTTTCATTGTTGTTTTCATTGTGTGCTTGATTTATGTTTCTGTGTTTACTGCCGAGGAGAGCCTGGGTTTGGGGCAAATTCACACCTACAAACATTTATTATTGATTGTTTATTGATTTATTTGATAGAGACAAATGCAGACATGTGAAACACTGCAACATTTATGGCTAAGGTTGATTTGCAAAGTCCGTCCCTAGAAGAGCTTTTAACACAAAAAGGTACCTTGTTCCTTAAAGGTATTCTGTTGGTCTCTCCCTATGGTCCAATACATATGTGTGTTTTTCTGTGTCTTAACTGTTGATTCTCTGATCTGTGTTGGTGATTTCAATGGTTTTGTTAAGTCTCTGAGATGATGCTGTTGGGATTTAGGGCAATGCAAGAATGAATTGTTTACCAGAGACACAGTGAGATCCATCCATCCATTCATTTTCTACCCTTTAATCCATCTCTGGGTCAGGGGGGTGACAATCAGAGATGCCACCCAAGTCTCATAGCACCAGCCCCTCACTGACCCTCTGCAGGTGGTGAGTCCACAGGAGGACGGCTGCTCTCTGACTGTGAGCATAGCCTTGATCTTTCAGTTGGGGCTTTGGGCAAAGTGGGGTTAAGTGTCTTGCCCAAGGACACAACGACAGCAGTCATCAGTGGGAGTCGGTGGAGAAGATGTAGAGGTGGGAAATGAACCCACAACCTTTAGGCCTGAAGGCCAATGCTCTACCAACTGAGCTAGACACAGTGAGATACTTTTTAGAATCTGACTTATAAATGTCCATGAGGTTGTCCACCTTGAACAGTGGTTGATGCGGGACAAAAAGGGTGATGACTGGGAGTTGGGGACCACTGTCAAAGGCCACATATTGTCCTTCGAAGCCACCGTAGTACCATAGATTGCAAAATAGGATCTGAATGCTAGATGGGAGTAAAAACTACACAGTGCACCTTTAAGAAATTCTGTGCTTTATAATCAATATTCACGAACCATTCTTACTCACTCGTCCTGTAGAAGGGTCTCCTCTCACATGGGGGTTTCAAAATAATTCAACCTCTGACATTAGAATCAACGTACATGTGCATTTCCTGAGCAGTTTTACAGACGTTTCTAGTGAAAAGTAGGAGCATGTTTTAAGCCCTGTCAGTGGAAGTGAAATTGGAATCTACTGTAGAATCGAACGACGTATTGTGTTGTGGACGATGGACTTATCACAGTAACAACTGTATTCTATTCTCTCTATGAAAAACACCTTTCACTGTGGCTCTGGTCTCTCTGCGGTCTCTCACTGGTCTGTCTCTGGTCTCTCACTGGTCTCTCACTGGTCTCTCACTGGTCTCTCACTGGTCTTGCTCTGGTCTCTCACTGGTCTCTCACTATTCTCTCACTGGTCTCTCTCTGGTCTCTCACTGGTCTCTCTCTGGCCTCTCACTGGTATCTCTCTGGTCTCTCACTGGTCTGTCTCTGGTCTCTCACTGGTCTGTCTCTGGTCTCTCTCTGGTCTCTCTCTGGTCTCTCACTGGTCTCTCTCTGGTCTCTCACTGGTCTCTCACTGGTCTCTCTCTGGCCTCTCACTGGTATCTCTGGTCTCTCACTGGTCTGTCTCTGGTCTCTCTCTGGTCTCTCACTGGTCTCTCTCTGGTCTCTCACTGGTCTCTCACTGTTCTCTCACTGGTCTCTCGCTGGTCTCTCTCTGTCGCTGTGTTCTCTCTGCGGTCTCTCACTGGTCTCTCACTGGTCTCTCTCTGGTCTCTCTCTGGTCTCTCTCTGGTCTCTCACTGGTCTCTCTCTGGTCTCCCTCTGGTCTCTCGCTGGTCTCTCTCTGGTCTCTCACTGGTCTCTCTCTGGTCTCTCTCCGGAATCTCCCTGGTCTCTCTCTGTCGCTGTGTTCTCTCTGCGGTCTCTCACTGGTCTCTCACTGGTCTCTCTCTGGTCTCTCTCTGGTCTCTCTCTGGTCTCTCACTGGTCTCTCTCTGGTCTCGCTCTGGTCTCTCTCTGGTCTCTCTCTGGTCTCTCACTGGTCTCTCTCTGGTCTCTCTCCGGTCT